AAAAAAAAAAAAGCTACAAATTCTTAAAGGCAGTCTTCACTGTCGCAAAATTACCAAGGCCCACACACAAAAAGTACAATCCTTATATAGGTGACTTAAAAGTCATGACAATTTATTGTCAACCACAGCTTGACAGCTAGTGTAAAATGCGCAGCATTCACAATATAGTCACATGTATGTGGCCTTATATGCGTGAAAGAGCATGATTTATCATACATAGGATTCAACTCATTTTCTTCCCAAGACTTGTGGCTTGCCCAAAGAAAATTGCACTTCTTACTGGATATTCTAAATGCAAAACCCGTGGACAGAATTTTTTCTGGAAGAATTAAGAAGTCAGGTCAAGATTTACCGTCCTTCTAAATTGATAGTCCACAATTTGGTCGAACCGCAGGATATAACGGCACAATCAATAATCAAATGAAAATACACCTTAACGAATTTTTTTCTACCACACTCGTTGAAACTCAAAATTATTTAAGTTTAGAGGAGAAAAAGAAAGGAAAGGAATAAAGTCTAGGAGAAATGTGCGGCTAAAACCTTTCATGCTAAACTGGCGAAGCCCTCGACCACTTTTATCACCTCCAACTGCACGTTGGCCTTTCTTCTTCTTCCTGTTGTTAACAACATGACTACAATTAGAAAATGCTGCTTTCATAGACAAGAAAGAGCATTCAGGCGATTATAGTTTCAATCATTTAAATAGGGACTTGTTAATGAAATAGAAATACACATCTTGTCCACCACTTATAACTATTTCAGTGTCTCTCCCAAATATTTCCACACATCTTGAAACTTGTATTCTGTTTTTTCACTCTTATATCCACAATGGTGCTTAGTCACAGAAAGTGAAACAATTAAAAAGAAAAAAGAAAAAGAAAAAAAAAAAGTTCCATCTCACAAACAATAATCAAGCTCATTAGTCTTCGAGTCTTAGTTCAATGATAAATTCTTTCAAAATGCACAACCTACTATAACTTGATCATATTCATAGCACATTGGCAGCTAGTAACTCACAACTGTGACTAAAATCTTAACGCACGTATCAAACACACTCATGTACTTTATATGAAACCTCAAAGGAAGAGAAGACTGACAATTCAAGCGAGTTCTTAACACATTTTATATAACCAGGAGTTTCAGCAATCGACAATCTACAGCAGCTGCAAAAATACTCGAAAAGGATACGGCAAGGCTCACCCAGCAGGCTCCTGAGACCCAGCATCATCCCCTTGAATTTCGAGATTGTTCAACCGAACAAATGTGCTATCACTAGCTGGTGTTGCCATGGCAGCCTCACTCCGGCTGGAGGGGGACCCCAAGCTGCCGCTAGTGGACACAGATTGGCCGGAAATAGTGGGGCCCCACGATCTTGTAGCTCCACCACCACCTCTAGAGATGGTTGATGGGCTCTTTCTCCCATCTTCCTGATTAATAATGCTATCACCGTTCCTATGATTCACCATTTTCACAGCCCAACACAAACATTCACCACCTTGAGTGAGGAATAACGGATCTTCTGGGGAATTAAACAAATATTTGGTGGTTACTAAGATAAATTGGGTACTTGAGATGAACCCATGTGAGAATTTAGCTAAATAGACTCAAAAAAACCACCAACAAGATGAACCCAAACAAAATGAGCTACACCATGAATTTCTACTAAAGAAAGGATTCTACCAAATACCCACCAAAAATCTCCAGACCAGACGACAAAATACTACTACTTCACAGAAAAGGAGCACACAATAAAAGAGAACTGCCCAAGTCAAAACCGAGCCAGAGAGGGATACGTTCGGAAGGGATGAACCAGATTTCAAGCCGTAAATATCCAAATATGTCACAGTTATTACAAAAACACGGGACTCCACGGAATTACATTCAGAAAAAAAAAAAAAACGACATGGGTACCAAAAGGAAGGAACGTAAGTATTAGTGCGATGTCCCTTTTGTCTCCTTCCTCCGTAATCTGTCGACCAAGTATACAGTACATAAACGAGATCAAAATGCTTTCTCTGGTTTCATGTGAGATTTGCTGAGGGTTTGCCTGATTTTCATGATCTGGGCTTAAGGCCAAAAGGGAAGAGTCTGGTAGGACGAGCAAATTGGAACCAAGAATTAGAGAGGGAAATATTTCTCAACTCTCTAAAGAGGGTTTTTGTTTCTAAACATTTTTTTTTTTTTAGTGTGAAATTACTATTAAATGCAATATTGGCTATATGATTTAATTACATGCACCTCTCAAAATATAATGTAAAGTGAATTTATGAGATGGTTCTTGATTTGGATGTGTATTATTTGCCCACTTTGAAGAACTAATATTTTTAAAATTCGTAATTGAAAATTGTGAAAAGAGAACTGGAACCCTAGCGATGACCGACAAGGCGCCTAATTCCGCTGTCGCGGGTACGGTAACATTCGACCCCGAATACAGTGTTCGGCGAGAGCGCCAGGACTCTGAATTCCCAGCGTTGGACCACAATACCTTACACACCAGCAAACGCTTTAAATTTCTGAAACGGTTGGGTGAACCCCTTGACAAGCAACCCCTCCCAGACCATGAAGCGGACCACGAACCTGCTTCGGAGCCACCAATTCGTAAGTGGTCGTTTAGGGATATGGTTAACAAGCAGAAACACCATGTTGAGATGGAGGATGAAGGTGATGAATCGGATAATGCTGAGGAAGATGTGTCCGTAGACTTCTCACGCCCGACACCGGATATTAAGATTGCACAACACTTCATTGATCAGATCAATAAGGATTGGCAGAATACGGTCGTCTTGAAACCTTTTGACGATTCGCTTATCATGGCGTCCCTCTATAGTCGTCTCACGAAGATGTGGTCGTTCATGGCAGGTTGCACAATGATGGACCTAGAAAACGGCTTCTATTTGATCCATTTTCGTATCCACGAGGACGCGGTCAAAGTTCTTACTGGAGGGCCGTACATCGTTAGAAGCAGCTATATGCACGTGCAACCATGGACCCTTGCTTTTGATACAACAAAGGAGGAATTATCAGCAACGATAGCATGGATTCGGTTGCCCGGGCTGCCGGCTCACTTGTATCATAAGAAGATTTTCCGTACAATTGGACGGATAGTTGGCAAGGTAGTCAAGATCGACCAACAGACGGCAGCTCTAACCCGAGGTAAATTTGCGAGGCTTGCGATCATGGTGGACCTGACGAAACCGCTTTGTGTGGACTTTACCGTCAATGGGAGGACACAGAAGGTAGTATACGAGAGTCTACCAGTTATTTGTTTCCACTGCGGGAGGATTGGTCATTCGGGAAACTCGTGCACTCACCTTCCCCGCCCCGCTGAACAACCACATACGGGTAAGAGGAGCCCCCAACCTGACGTCAATGCGGGGGTTGAGGACAATAGCGCAGGCTGCTCTGGAGTGAAGAATAAGTCGGCGCGTGATGAACTGGAAAATCCGTACGGGCCGTGGATCCAAGTGCCCCAGCGAACACGTAAGCCATACTCCAAGCGTAGTACTGGGCCAGATAAGTTGCACTCTGTCAACAACTCATCTTTGAATAAGGGTTCCGGGGCTCGCTTTGACCTGTTAGAACATGAAGAATCGATGGAACCCAACCAAATTTTCGAATTCGGAACCTCTGTTGCGGCCACAATCAAGAGGGCGGTTGAGCGACCTCATAAGAGCAATGCGATTATGGAAGAGAAGGTATGGCAGTCAAGCTCGATCAAAGGTGATAAACATGGTAAGACAAAAATTGGGAGCGGGAGAATGAGTGCAGAAAAAAGGAGCGACAAACCAGGTGGATCAAAGGATAACTCAACCCCGACGGCTACAGTGGTGCATCATGAGAAGGTTGTTCGAACCATCGAGCCTGAACCCATGACCCCAGTCGAAACCTCGCTAACTGTAGGGCAAGTCCGAGTAAGCGCGGGGTTGGACCCGACTAAACACCGAGCTCTCATAGTGGCAGGTCAAATAATGGCGTACTCGGATGGAAACTCTCAGCACGGGTTGGGCGAGGATGCTCTTATGGCCGACGAGGAGAAAAACATATGGCACCAGGACCCATGGCCAGAGGACCCTAGTTCTCGTATGGACGGAGATGATTACCAGACTAACCATACGTGCATGAAAGACGAAAGTCCAGATTTGGAGGTCCATAATCTGGACTAACGATGATCGCGTTCCCCCTTCTCCGACTAGTTTCCTCGATGAATATTCTCGCATGGAACGTTCAGGGAGCGGGCTCGCCTGTATTCCGGGGAGCTTTTACTACCCTTATTCAACAGTATAAGCCAGAGATTGTGGCTCTTTTTGAGCCACGCATTAGTGGGGCGAAAGCAGATAAGTTCGTACGGTTTAGCAAGTTTGACAACTCCTTCCGTATAGAAGCTCAAGGTTTTTCGGGAGGTATCTGGATCCTACGGAATGATGTGACAACCGTTGAGATCTTACATTACACCCAGCAGCTAGTTCACGTTCGGGACACAAATCACGGTGTGACTACTCTGGTGACCTTCGTTTATGCTAGCCCAAGCGCAGCAATTCGTAATCAGGTATGGCTCGACCTTGGTGGCCTGGCGTCGAGCATCTCAGA